CCTTCTCTTGCGGAGGCTGAAGAGGTCCAGGTGCCCTAGTCTCTCCTCAAAGGGCTTGGCCTGCAAGCCCCTAACCATACGAGTGGCCCTTCTCTGGACCCTCTCCAGGTTATCTACACCCCTCTTGAAGTGCAGCACCCAAAACTGCACGCAGTACTCCAACTGCGGTCTGACCAGCGCCCAATGGGGAAGTATCACCTCCTTGGATCTGTTCATCATACATCTGCTGATGCACGATAAAGTGCCATTGGCTTTTCTGATGACTTCGTCACACTGCCGACTCATGTTCATCTTGGAGTCCACTAGGACTCCGAGATCCCTTTCCGCTTCCGTGCCACCCAGCAGGTCATTCCCTAGGCTGTAGGTGTGCTGGACATTTTTCCTCCCTAGGTGCAGCACTTTGCATTTCTCCTTGTTGAATTGCATTCTGTTGTTTTCTGCCCATTTGTCCAACCTGTCCAGGTCAGCTTGTAGCTGTTCCCTGCCCTCCGGCGTGTCCACTTCTCCCCACATTTTTGTGTCATCTGCAGACTTGGACAGAGTACACTTCACTCCCTCGTCCAAGTCCCTGATGAAGACATTGAAGAGTATCGGTCCAAGGACTGAGCCCTGCAGGACCCCACTGCCCACGTCCTTCCAGGTCAATACCGACCCATCCACTACGACTCTCTGGGTGCGACCCTCTAGCCAATTCACCACCCACCGGACTGTGTAGTCATCCAAGTCACAGACTCTTAACTTGTTCACCAGTATGGTGTGGGATACCGTATCGAAGGCCTTCCTGAAGTCTGTATATGACGTCAACCCCTCCTCCTGTGTCCTTTTCCTACTAGGCCATGGGCCTGGGGCTGTAGTCTTCACTTGAAGATTTGTTTTTGCATCCATCTAACTTTATTGGAATGAGTTCAAGGCAGTCAGTAGGGCTGTGAAATAGGAGCTCCATGCCCAGGAGCGTTGCAGAGCGGGTCCTGGCTGGACTGGGGGAACACTGAGGCCATTACATAGGAGAGAGGGTCGTTAACAGCTGTGGAGTGAAGAGTTCGGAAGGAAGCAGGTAGACGAAAGTGAGCCCTTAAGTCCACTGATCTGTCAGCGCTGCCTGACTAGAAACACTGCTGCCACTGCAGGCTTTAAACTTTGGGTGGAGTAGGAATCAGAGAGGTGCGCATGCACTAGTGCACCCCCCTGGATCCACCCCTACTGGGGCCGCTGCCCCCACAAGGTTCATGGCCTGGGGGGGTTCATCCACAGGTGAGGGCAAGAGCTGGGACTCTGCCAAGGCCAAGGGATAGCGTGCGTGCATCTCAGCTTGCCAGCAGCAGCTGGCAGCCAGCTTGATTAGTCTGATCACAGCAGGGACCTGATAACCTCTGGTCTCAACTCCTGATCCAGGGCTCATTAGATTCCCTTTTATGCTGTTGACTTTAGCTTTCCTGCCCCTCCCCTGCCATACCTCCTGGCTAATGGCTGGCGCAGAAACAGCAGCTCTTTAAACTCTGCTCCATGGATCTATCGCACCTTTTCCCTTTTGTTTTATCGCTGCTAACAATGGTTGCAGTGAAACGGGATCTCCCTGAAGAATTCTGCTGTGAAGCCTTAACTCCCAACATCTCAATGCCCCACACAAACCTGCTGGAAATGTCTTGGGGAACTCAGCCCGGGGTCCCAGAACAAATCAAATGTTTGCTTTAACAAATCGGAGGATTGGACCAAATTAAATCTCATGAGGTTCAACAAGGACAAGTTCAAAGTCCTGCTCTTAGGGTGGAACAAGCCCATGCACCAGTATAGGCTGTGAGTGGCTGGCTGGGCACCAGCTCTGCAGAAAAGGACCTGGGGGTGACAGTGGGAAATAAGTTGAATATGAACCAGCAGTGTGCCCTTGTCGCCAAGAAGGCTAACAGCATCCTGGGCTGAATGATCAAGAGCGTTCGTTGTAGCAGATAGAGGGAAATGAAGAGTGTTTGTACCTGAAAGCTTGCAAATAAGATTTTTTCCAACAATTTTGGCTGGGCTAATAAAAGATATCAGATTTACCCAAAGAACCTTGTCTTCCTAGTCCCCTCTGTTCGGCACTGGTGAGGCCACATCTGGAGTCCAGTGGCCAGTTTTGGCCCCCCGCTACAGAAGGGATCTGGACAAGTTAGAGAGAGTCCAGCAGAGATCAACAAAAATGGTTGTGGCACATGATTTATGAGGAGAAACTGAAGGAACTGGACTTATTTAGTCTGCAGAAGAGAAGACAGAGTGGGAATTTACTAGCAGCCTTCATCTACCAGAGGATGCAGCTGGACTGGTCTCAGTGGTGGCAGATGACAACAAGGAGCAATGGGCTCCAGTTGCAGAAAGGGAGGTGTAGGTTGGATATTAGTAAAAACTTTCTCATGAAGAGGGTAGTAAAGCACTGGAACAGGTTACCCAGAGATGTGGTAGGATCTCTATCCTTGGAGGTGTTTTAAGACCCAGCTCAACAAAGCCTTGGCTGGGATGATGTAGCTGGGGCTGGTCCTGCTTTGAGCAGGGGGTGGGACTAGATGTGACCTCCTGAGGTCCTTTCCAAGCCTCATTTTATGATTCTATGAATTCTCAACCCAAACTCTGAGTTTCACTTGGAATCAGAACCAAAGATCAGCCTCTGGTTTGTTCAGATCTGTTTTTAGCAAATTTGCAAAAGCTGATTGACAGGTTCCCTGCGATTTCAGGTTTCATAGTGCATGCTTCGAGGGGTGTTGAAATCCATGTTCCTTTTATCACGAAAAATCCACCGCAGCTTGTTGTGATGGGACTTGAGTGGGACAACCTCATGTGAAGAACAGCACCCAGGGGCAGTTGTATCTGGCTTCAGAAACAAGTATCTGCAGGCCAAGTTCAGCCATGGTGTAAGCAGGCACAATCTCATGGAAGTTCAGGGCCATGACACCCACTGAATTTCATCCATAAAGAGACATAAGGTAAATCTCAACTTTCAACAGCATAGTCTCTCCTGAGAGAACTTCTCAGCAGTTCCCACGGGGCTTGGATTTGTCTCCGTGTGTTCATGGCACACGTCTGTGCCTGATTAGGTGATCTCAGATGAGGTTTGCAATAAACCCAGAAGCACCTCACAAGACTACTCAGGAGATGCATGATTAACCACTTACCAGGTTGCTAAGCTATTTGCTGTGAACACAGCTCCTTTTGCTTAGGTGCTTTTGAACTCAACAGGTGCTTTCACACCCCAGGAATCTCCAGAGCATTTTGCCATCAGGTCATTTGAAAGGTTTGATAGATACAACAAATGTCTGCATTAACTTAGGATCATAAAAAAGCAGGGTTGGTAGGGCCCTCCAGAGGTTGCATCTAGTCCAGCCCCTTGCTCAAAGGAGGATCATCCCTGGAAAACCCTTGCTAGACAAGTGTCTGTTTAGCCTGCCCTGGAAAACTCCCAAGGAGGGCAATTGCACCCCCTCTCTGGGCATCTCTTCCAGTGCTGAACCACCATCGTAGCTAGGAAGTTCTTCCTAACATTCAAGCTAAATTACCCTTGCTGCAATTTAAGACTGTTACTCTTTGTCCTGTTTCCTGCAGCCACAGAAAATAGTATATCTCTACCCGCCCTGCATTTGGAGACTGTTATCAAGTCCTCCCTCTTCTCCAGACTCAACCTTCCCCGTTCTTTAGGCCTTTCCTCACCAGTCCTGTTCCTCAAACCTCTGATCATTTTTTATTTGAGTCACTCTAGCACAGCCTGGGAACTGTGTCATTTCTTGCCTGCTCTGCACTGGTGTGAACGACTATACAGGACACAAGGCTACCGCACATCAAACCCAGAGTCCAGCATATGTGTGTGTGCACTTGCGTTATTCCATGTGTCTGAG